TATGCTCTTTCTTTCAGCCCTTCATTTTTACATAAGCTGAATTAACGAGACAATATTAGACTATTAATGAAATCCACCGTTTAAACTCTTCAGACATATGTTAAAATCAACGTTTCAGTAGATTAAAGCAAGCATTGTTCTTGTTTTACTTCGGTTTGATCTTTCTTAGCAAAGATTGTGTAATTTCGCTTACACCGTTTTCCTGAAGGATTGCAGTAAGATAAATGTTCATAAAATAATGTTGTACACTTTGTTTCTTAACGCCTTTGTAGCATTATGTAATGGGGTGTCGACCCTTTTCTGTTTAAATTTTTTTTTTTTTGAGAAATGTCGGCTAACGTTATATCGGCTAACTTAGCCAGCCCTTTCACTTCACGTTTATCACTTGCAAGGCGAGTCTGTTTTTAAAGAACAAATGTTATTTTGCATGCTAGTATATGTGTTAAAGTGGCTGTTAATGTTTTATGTTGTATTATTGTGTTATTTGTGTGAATGAATGTTGTGATGGTGGGGTGCGGTAACACAGGCCTCGCGACATGACGGTTTCTTATCATCAATCTATCGATCTTTACACGCAATAATACGCGTAGATAATCGTTAATGTTGTGTTTTACGGTTACAGCATTTATCGTTTGGTCAATATTTGTTGAAAATGGTTTTCTTTTTCTTTAACATAGCGATACAGATGCAGTGTAACTTCCGGTCAAATTACATTTCCGCAGCTGTGTTTCCGGTTCATGTTGACTATAGAAATTATTCACAGAACACATATGACTTCAACATCTATCTAATGCAAACTTTGCATTTCTCCACTTTTAAAGCTGCCTTTTCACTCCTGGTCTCTTTCTGAAAATGCTTCAGATCTGTAAAGCTCTTTTTGCTTGTCGTTTGTCTCCTCTCACTCCTCTGCAGATGGCTGCCATTCGTAAGAAACTCGTTATAGTGGGTGATGGAGCCTGTGGAAAGACCTGTTTGCTTATTGTTTTCAGTAAAGATCAGTTTCCTGAAGTCTACGTACCCACAGTTTTTGAGAACTACGTTGCAGACATCGAGGTCGATGGAAAACAGGTATGAAAGCACAGTTTGTAAACCATTATTTTCACTGAGATGCACCAAGAAAACAATGAATGCATTGTAATAACGTGCAGTATTTACTTAAATAAGTTTTCGATGAATTGATTGAACTTACCAACTTTAATGCTATTTCTGCTGCTAAAGTTAAAATTTACCATTGGGAATGTGTATACCAAAATACATCACCAGAACAATATTCAGTATTCTGTCCTTCCCCGTTGCATAGATGTGGTTACACTGGTCTAAGTTATACATGTACATTCCTCTTTTATACGTGAGACCACAGTTGTTGTGTTATTTGAGATAGTTTAACACATTGATCTCAAACTCAATTCCTGGAGGGCCACAGCTCTGCACAGTTTAGCTCCAGCCCTAATCAAACACACCTGATCCAGCTAATCAAGGTCTTCAGGATTACTAGAAACTTCCAAGCAGGTGTGAGTTGGAGCTGGTTGGAGCGAAACACTGCAGAGCTGTGGCCCTCCAGGAATTGAGTTTGAGACCACTGGTTTAGCACATTGACCAATATCTCTCTTCTTACAGGTAGAGCTTGCCTTATGGGATACGGCTGGACAGGAGGACTATGATCGGTTAAGACCTCTCTCCTACCCTGACACAGATGTCATTCTTATGTGCTTTTCCATCGACAGTCCCGATAGCTTGGGTAAGACGTCCTCGTAAACAATTCGATATCACTAGCCCAGTCATCACACCTTAATTCTAAATGTTGAAAAAATATACCATATTTTCAAGATTTAAGTCGGCATGAGATGAAAATCAAATGGATCTATTTTCTAAATGCATGTTATTGATCTTATTGTGAATGATTCACCCATGCACATTTCTGTTTTTGTTTGTTTTTTTAATGTTTGACCTCATAATTTATAATCAAAATACCATACCTCAATTTTCTGGTGAAAAAAGCAATAATTTAGTCGGCTTAACCCCGCCAATGCAAGTTTTCTTGCATGAGCCCACGTCCCAAAATCCAATCAACAACTGATGGATTGATTTAAGTCCCGTCTTTATTTTTAATCTTCTTCTATGATAATTCATTACAACTGGATGTACGTCACAGTACAGAAAGAAAAGATCTGTCAATATTTAAGTTTCATCTCGATTTTTAAGTCAACGTGAAATAAAAATTCACCCAGTCTGTTTTCTTATACTTTACTATTTTACTATTATATCACCACCTTAAGTGTGTTTCTCATAGTGGTAAAACCAGTCAGCTAAAAAATAAATAAAATTTTCTAATGAACTGAATCATGAAACCTTCACTTGTGGTCTAAATACAATACTTTCACATCAAAGTTAAAGATGCAGCAATTTAGCCACCAAGCAGAAATGCGTTTTCAAGAATGATCGGGTTTTCATCAGGTCTTTACATCAAAACCTAAACAGACATGCACACTGAATTTGTACGAAGCTGAGGTAACGGGCAAAGATTCAGGTGCTCAGTTTCAGTTTTTATTAACGTTTCTAAAACAAAAATATATATATACCAATTAACTCGGTTTAAACAATATAAGATGATTTACTCTGTTAAGCCATTACATACTTGTCATAATTTAAAAATTACTTGAAATATGGTTAATACAATTACCACTCTCCTTTTAATCCATCACAGAGAATATTCCAGAAAAGTGGACACCAGAGGTGAAGCATTTCTGTCCGAATGTTCCCATCATCCTCGTTGGTAACAAAAAGGATCTCCGAAATGATGAGCACACACGAAGGGAACTTGCCAAAATGAAACAGGCAGGGCCTTTTTACTTAGTAAAATGTATGATTCTTAAAGGAAAAGGTCATCCAGCAATGAACATTAGCTGAAAATGCACTCACCCTCAGGCCATCTAAGATGTAGATGTAGAGTTTGTTTCTTCATCAGAACTGATTTGGAGAAATTTAGCATCACATCACTTGCTCACCAATGGATCCTCTGCAGTCTCTAAATCTGTTCTGATATACAAACAGTCATCTGCATCTCGGATGGCCTGAGGATGGGTAAATTGTAGCAAATTTTCATTTTTAGGTCAATTATTCCTTTAAACGCTGCAGAATGTCCAAGCTGCTCTTTTCCATTTAAGTGGATGGTAATTTATACTGTCAAACTCCAGTCAGCCGTTATCAGCCGTGGTAGCACTTTTCATACAACTGCAACTCAAAGTGCTTCACGGGCTAAACAAGAAAAAAACAAAAAAACATTGACAATACAATTTTGCACACTAAGTAATCACATATTCAAAAGATGTACCTACTAAGTATGCGATTTTGGACGCTGCCTAACACGGTTCATTCTGTGCCGTGTGCTTTGTTGTATACTGCACATTTTGGGAAATGTGTGTTGTAGGCATACAAAATATTGCATACTACTCGGAGTATATGAACATAGCCAAATGTGACCCTGGACCACAAAACCAGTCTTAACATAAATATTCTGACCTTATTACATAACTTCATGCTGTTAAACCTGAATGGGTAAATGACAAATAACCAACATTAACTCTTTTAAATGTACTAAAGATTTTATGTGCAACTACATGCAGAAAAGTATTTAAAGGGGTCATGACATGGATTTTTAAAAATTATTTTAATGTTCCTTGAGGTTTACTTATAATTTTAATATTTTTTATTTTTTTTGCACAAAAAACGAATAAATATTTGGAAAAAGTATTATTTTAAAGTCGGCATGAAATCAAAATGGAAAATTCTTATTTTTTTTAATGGAATACTGTAGTGTTTATTATAAATCATTTTATCCTTGCACTAAATTATTTTTTTTTAATTAATGTGCCTTCGTAATCTTTAATCAAAAGTGTTAACCTCTTTTTTATGAATATGACTTAACCTGATGGAGGACGCGCTCAGTCATTCAGACAGTCTCTCTCGCACGCGCGCTGTTAGGCATGTTTTAGGACATCGCAAACTATTTTTTTATGAATATGACTTAACCTGATGGAGGACGCGCTCAGTCATTCAGACAGTCTCTCTCTCGCACGCGCGCTGTTAGGCATGTTTTGTGCCGTTGATCATCCTCGTTGTCATCTTCCTCAATAAATAAAAAATGTCTTCATGCTAGGGTGTCGGCGGTGAATCCAGTGGAGAGAAATCCCCCCACAACTAACTGCAAACTGGCATTCAGATCTGCCTCCATTTTGTTAGCAACGCCCCAACTTCCAATGATCCAATTAATTCCCGAAGGACTAAATCAAGTCCCACCCTCTCATTTCAGATGCCGTTTCACTCGGATAGATGTCACAGTAGAGAAAAAAAGACAATCGCTACTTCCGTTTCATGCCGACTTTAAACCCTCATTCTGACCATCTGTGTAAAAAACGACCTGTTTTAAGGGGCAGATCCTTTAAGACTTCTCCGTAATCAGCCACTGTTATGATTAGCTAACATCATTGCATAGGAAATAGTATCAATGCCCCCTCGCTATTACCTGTGAATGTTTTGACAACATGATTAAAAAAAAGGTCATTTCCAAAGCATTATAAAATCATTTACTTGTGATGCGGTGTTCTAGCCTAGTACCACGTCATTTTTCAACAAATAATTCTTTAAAAAAAAATCTTTCTGAACACTGACACTCCGATCAATCCTCTGACACGATCCGGGATGCCATTAAAAAAAAAACTATACACCTGTTCCTTTTGCTGGGATCCTTCTTATATCTGTACAAAGACACGAACAAACTGTTTAAACCAAATGCAAAAGCGAATATTCTTTCACTCCATTTGTACTGACGACAGACTCCAGCATGTGGACTGTGTCAAGAAAGTGAACATGCATCTGTATACTGTATCCAGTGTAGACAAGATAGCGGTAGTGATTGTAATTTCTGTTTGCTTTTGACGTGACACGACACTCGCATTCAGAGTAATCAAGTGTCAGCCGTTAAGTGACTGAACGCCAGTGGGATGGGCGTATGGTGAGAAGAATACTATTTGTCGATGTCTTGCTCTGGAGGCAATGTTTATGCAAATGTTTGTGCCCGGGTGATGTCATCTTGCACCTCGGATCCAAATGAGCCATTTTTGGAGCTGGATTAAATAAATGTTTTGTTTAAATGAGGGAAACATTTAAGCTATGAAAATTGCAGGATGGTTAAATGGTACAAATACCTCTTATATGCCAAAAGATCAAGACAAATTTGATTTATCATGTCATGACCCCTTTAAGTTCCTGCAGCTGATCACAATTTTTTTTTACTCTTTCAACATCAACTTTTTGAAGTTTACCTAAATAGTCCTTCCAACCCTCTACATTGCGAGTAAATCACTCGCATATGATATATATATATATATATATATTAGTATAGTATTTCAGTCTGGCGAGTAAACAAAAAAATATACTAGCCAATGGCGATTCAATTGCCAAGGTGTCTGTTGAGGGTTGCCTTCAGTGTAATAGATGGGTTTACAAATATAGGGAAGCACAAGTATTCCATGTTGTCTTTTAGTTAATAAGATGCCATAAAGCTGCATCTATAATAACTAAGTAGACGGATGTTGATTGAATTAGTTTGAGATAAAATGCCACTTCGCACTGCAGGATGCTGCTGTCACTGCTTAGTTTAAATATATTTTATCTCCCACACTGACGGTACTTGATTGCATATGCTTGGTTCTTGACTGGAGCAAGATTGTTGATTGTACTCACCCTCAGATCATTCGAGTTTGTTTCTTCATGGGAACAGATTTAGAGTAATTTATCATTGCATCACTTGTTCACTAATGAATCCTCTGCAGTGAATGGATGCTGTCAGAATGAGAGTTTAAACAGCTGATAAAAAACATCACAATAATCCACAAGTAATCCACACCACTCCAGTCCATCAGTTAACATCTTGTGAAGTAAAAACCTACGTGTTTGTACAAAATGAGACTAAATCAAGATTTTAATTTTAAAGGGGTCATATGATGTTTATGCTGTTTAAGGTTAAAAAAACACATTATTTTCCACATACTGTACATTATTGTTTCTCCTCTATGCCCCGCCTTTCTGAAACGCATCGATTTTTACAAAGCTCATCGGTCTGAAAAGCGAGGTGTGCTGTGATTGGCCAGCTATCCAGTGCGTTGTGATTGGCCGAATACCTCAAGCGTGAGACGGAAATGTTACGCCCCTACCATACTGTAATGATGCCCTGTCAGGCCGGAGCGATGATTCAAAAACATGAAAACCCATTATAAACGAGGCATTCGTTGCATCCAGCGGGGACATAATTACGGATTATAACGACTTATACTTTCTTTTTACGCGTTGCGTTGCATCGCGCCGCGTAAACATAAAACCATGTCTGCATTTGTGATCGGAGAAATGACAAACAACAAGCCCTACTCTACACTGCCCAAAAAACTCGCTTTAAATATAAAAAAAAATAAAATATAAAAACTCTTTAAATATAAATATTCACGAACAACTTGTAACACTCCAACGAGAAAGGAAAACTTGAAATCGCATCATATGACCCCTTTAATTTGATACTTTTGCTTCTGGCCAAAAAATCCATAATAACACTTCATCCAGTGAGAAAGTCCATCCTGTCTTGTCCTCTCATATCAATATCCACCAATATATTCATTTAGGACTGTTTTCACTTGTAAAAGGTGCTTGATCTGTGCTTATTTCTCTCCTGATTCAGACGAGATGTCTTTTTCACTGGAGAACGCAATATTATGGATGGAGGACTTGTATTTTAGTCAGAAGCAATGGTCTGAACCTAAAAATATCTTAATAATGGATTTGTTTCTTACAAACACACAGTTTTTCACTTCATACGATGTTAATTGATGGACTGGAGTGCTGTGGATTATTATGGTGTTTTCATCCGCTATTTGGACTCTCATTCTGACGGCACCCATTCACTGCAGAGCATCCTTTGCTGAGCAAGTGATGTAATGCTACTGTGATGTAATTTCTCCAAATCTGTTCCAATAAAGAAACATAGTCATCTACATCTTGGATAGCCTGAGGATGAGTACATTTTCAGTGAATTGAGTGAACTATTTTTTTTTAAGCTACATATTGCCTAAATCTTTCTCTTTTATGGTGTCATAGGGGCGGTCGTGGTGACCGCATGGGTCGCTATGGGAAAGAGTCTGATGATCATGACTATAGGGACATGGACTATCGCGGCTATGGGCAAGAAAATAGACTGAATAGCAGGTTAACAAATGTAAGACAGCACGAGCCTGATAGTAGTTTTGAAGGCATGAGAGATTTTGCCTCAGGTAATTTCTTGAATAACCGACCCGTATTCAGACAAAAGGGAAACCATGGATCCAAAAACAGCCAACTTGGAAAAAGTCTCCTCCAAAGTCCCCCAAATGAGAATATCCACTCAAGATTCCAGCAAGATGATGAGGATTATGAGTTTGACCCAGAGATTGATGCACACCGGAGAGATATCCAGACATTTAGATCAGGACAGAAGGTCTATCTGGATGAACAAACCGCAGATGAAGGTGAAGAAAATGAGGACAACACCTGGGGCAGAGTTAAAGGGCGGCACAACTCTCAGGGCGAATACAGTGCAGAATGGAGAGCTGAGGAAGACAAACATATCAGACATTCTGCACACAAACAAGTTAGTACATTTTTCTCTCCAGAACTGTTTTTGTTTTCTATGAATCATGAGCTTGCAATCATTAAATCTTAATTTATTTTACTTGCCTTATATTGTTTACTGTGTAAACATTTGATCATATCTAAACAGTTCTCTTTGTTATTAAGAACCCGAGCAGAGTAATATATATCTAGGATGACTGTCTTCCTGGTTTAGGGGTTTCCTGACCAATCCCAACCAGCTAGGGACAAAATAAGAGATGGAAGCTTTCATCATGCTCTAGAAATGAGCCAGGAGGAGCCAGAACCCCGTGACCAGGACTACAGGTCTGATACAGAGCAGGCCCAAAAACCCAGCAACATTGTCATGCTGAGAATGCTCCCACCAAATGCAACTGTTAACGAGGTTTGTCTTACTTTTATTTCTTGATATGAATACAGTAACCATTTCAGTAAACGTCTGTGGCATACTGTTACAACAGAAATCAAAACAAAAATAGAACTGCATTTACTTTTCAATAGAAATCTGTGTGGCAGTTGGTGTTTGTTTGCACTATTGACTTACATTGTACATATCCCACAGTTTTTAAAAACTATTGACTAGGTTGAAATTTTTTGGTGTAATACATATCATGCTACAAATTACAGAATTTAAAGGAATAGTTCAGCCAAAATAATACAAAAAGAAAATTTGCTGAAAATGTACTCTGACTCGGGCAATCCAAGACGTTGATGAGTTAGTTTTTTTTTTTCTTCCCATTGGAACAGGTTTGTAGAAATTTAGTATTACATTACTTGCTCACTAATAGATCCTCTGCAGTGAATGGGTGCCGTCAGAATGAGAGTCCAAACAGCTGATAAAAACATCACAATAATCCACAAATAACCCACACCACTCCAGTCCATCAGTTAACATATTGTGAAGTGAAAAGCTGCATGTTTGTAAGAAAAAAATACATCATTAAGACATTTTAACTTTAAACCATTGCTAAAATACACGTCCTCTCCATAATTGTGTTTTCTCTGGTGAAAAAGTCACCTTTTCTGAATCGGGAGAGAAATATGCACAGATCAAGCACCATTCACAAGTGAAAACAGTCCAAAACGGTTCTGAACAAATATGTCAGTGGATGTTGATGTGAAAGGAAAAAAAAAAGTTGACAGACTTTTTCACTGGAGGAAGCGTTATTATGGATTATTTTGGCCAGAAGCGACTGTTTAAAGTTAAAATGCCTTAATGATGAATTTATTTGTAATAAACATGCTGTTTTCACTTCACAAGACGTTAATTGATGGACTGAAGTGGTGTGGATTACTTGTGGATTATACTGATGTTTTTATCAGCTGTTTGGACTCCAGCTGTTTGGACTCCAGCTGTTTGGACTCCAGCTGTTTGGACTCGGCACCCATTCACTGCAGAGGATCCATTGCTGAGCAAGTGATGTAATGCTACATTTCTACAAATATGTTCTGATGAAGAAACAAACTCTCTACATCCTGGATGGCCTGAGGGTAAGTAAAGTTTCAACAAATTTCAGCCATTAGCATATTAATTTTGCCCAAATATTTTATTTGAGGTCATGCTATGAGGTTTGGTGTAGTTAAGCGCTGGTGTTTGATCTTTAGATTCGGGCTCAACTGCAAGAGCAAGGGATCCAGCCCAGAGAGATTCGCCTCATGAGGAACAAGTCTTCAGGTAAGAAAGCTCTACTAAGGGGGCTTCTCTGTACCCCAGACTGACCTCCAAGTCTCTCTTCCACTGCCTTCCATAACAAGCCTTAACTCACTCTTGCGTCTGCCTAGTTCAGTGTATTATTTCAATACAGCCTCTCTCTTCTTTCTCACTTTCCTCCTGGTGTAGTTGAGTTGAGTAAAGATGTTGTTTAGTACTGGTGCTTTGAAACCTTCAGGTGTATGTTTCTTTAACTCCCTGCACATATTTTTGTTTAAACCATCACTGCTTATTTCCAGTTCTCTATTGTGTGTTACTATTTTCTTACCATAACCCTTGTCAGACTATTCTTAACCAGACAATATTCACGTAAACACTCCCGATACATCCACAAGCATGGGAATAACAGAAACATGCACACTGGCACACAAACACAACTACTCCAAGTGCCAAGCTTGTTTCACATGTCCTGCCAGCCTTATCCCTCATCTCACTTTGATTGCTCTTGTCCTGAAGTCTGGGGAAGATCTTGCATCTTACATTGTGTAAGTATTTTGCAATAGCTGTGTTGAGAAGACAAGTGTGTCTGACCATTACGTGGGCAATTTCTGGCTTTTTTGATGGGTTTTGGAATTTTGTGTCCTCAACTATAAGGGTGGACAAAATAATGTAAACACCATTTAAAAGGTTTTTAGTTTCTTTCAGGTAATTTAAAGGGGTCATATGATGTTGCTTAAAAGAACATTATTTTGTGTATTTGGTGTAATGAAATGTTTATGCGGTTTAAAGTTCAAAAAACACATTATTTTCCACATACTGTACATTATTGTTTCTCCTCTATGCCCCTCCTTTCTGAAACGCGTCGATTTTTACAAAGCTCATC